CACCGCCTGGAATGTGGACTTCCAAACATTTGGGCCTGTAAGAAACATCACTTCGCAACCTTATTTATTTTTTGCTTCTGATATTTTTGAAGCTAGCTAGATAATATATATTATCATTTTGTGATTCTAATTTTGTAATTTTTTCTAGCATTTCAAATATTTTATATATATACTCATTTACATTTCTACAGGAAATGATTCACATAAATGTTCAAGTCTGTTACAACTTTATTGGTAACTGTTTTTTAACCCACAAAATAACCTCCTCTACACTTCTGACTTACCTTTTATTTACATTAGTGTGTTATCCTTTGGCTCATCCACTTCCGTATTGAGGTGTCTCAAAGCAACAGCAGTTAGATTTTACTCTTTGTCTCCTTGTGACAGGTTTTTCCATTTAATAGAAAAATTTACCCTATTCAACATTTAGCATCATGCATGATATGCTCAGAATTACGCTTGCCGCCATCTTGTTACAGGTTAAAGTTCCTTCTTCTTCCTTGTTAGAGGAATCCCACTAGTCATTCTTCTTTCTCCCTTAGCCTGTCTGTCCTAGCCAAATATCATCCACGGTACATATTACATGTGGTTCATGAAAATTCCAGCCTATGGGTACCCTTTCCTAGTTTCCAGGCCAACAGAAAAATGTGCCTTATTTTGTCTTCCTTTATTTATTTGAATAAACAGACTGGATCAGGATTAGACGGAGAGGAGAAGTGAATATCTGTGTTCAAAAATCACCATTTTAGTCCTGCTAAAATTTTTATGTGGTTATACAACCATAAATATTAATGTAAAGTAAACTGTAAATATTATTTATTTTAATGGTCAAAATTTCAGCATTAACTTAAGAAAATATGATTGTGTAAGTGTGTCCATTACGATGTGTGAAACCCATCATAAGTGAAACTTGGGCAAATACTTAATTGGAAATGCAAATGAAGATTTGCCTGGACGTTTATTTGGTACAAGCAATTATGGAAAATTTGTCCCATAAAACTAATTAAGTGAAGCTGTTATTGGTGCAGCTAGTTATTGTACACATGGATTCGCAGAGAAGGCTAAGGCATTCATAAAGCCCTCTGCTTCTGATTACAGATTCACTGCACATGTTGGCATGGCTCGCGCAAGAGGACTCCAATTTGTCACAAAACGCAGGACCTCGTCAAACTGTAGACGATTCCTTCTTACATATAACAATAAATATATGCTTTTCCTATTTTACAGAAAGGTGATTTTCAACATCTTCCTAAATGGGCCCATTAGATAATTCTGAGAGTATAAACATATGTCAGAATAAAAAGGGATGACCCAGAGGAGAAGAATCCAGACTGATTTTCAGGAGAAAGTTTGGATCACTTTATTGAGGAGAGAAATGTTAAATAAATCTATGGAATCAGATAATTATTAGGAGATAGTGTCTATGTTGGAAATGTTTTAAAACTCTAAAATATGCTTATTGTTTTCCAATGCATATTTACTATGTTATGGATCAGAAGATTTTTGGACTATTGTGGAACTGAGCAAATATTAGAAGCCTTCAGATTATAATCCATTCCAATCACAATTTTCTATAGTTTTTAGTCATGAGTACAAAGTTTTGCATATCTATATAACCATTTCTTTTCTGCTTTTTCTCCCCAAATCCCCCCAGTACATAGTTGTATATTTTAGCTGTGGGTCCTTCTAGTTGTGGTATGTGGGATGCCGCCTGAACGTGGCCTGACGAGCGGTACCATGTCTGCACCCAGGATCCAAACCAGCAAAACAAAGTGGAGCATGCAAACTTAACCAATTGGTCACGGGGCCAGCCCCTATATAATCATTTTTTTAAGTAACTGTTTTTTCAAAAGTTGAACAGAAATGAAATGCATGGAAGAATGACTCATTGGCCTGGATTCTTTCAATTCTGATCTATATCTAAGCGTAAGTATGTCCTTAGAACAATTCACCCCCATTAACAGATACGCTGGTTTTAGAATATGGATTTTAAATGAGCCAATAGTCAGCCAGCGCATTCATCCTGATTAAAAGATATAGTGAATTCAGAACAGGCTCTTTATTTAACAGGCTGAAATGCACTTAGCACATTACCATTTTGAGAGAGATTAAAAGTTGAAGTACACTTGATGCTTTATACTTAGACATTTTAAAATGTAGTTTGCATTTTCTCTAAAGGTATAAATCACGTTTGAGTTTATGACTTGATTAAAGAAAATGTATTCTCACAAAAATTATTCACACTCTTCTCCAAGCGATACAATTTTTGTTTTTAAATATAAAATAAGGTATTATCAAATACAGTTCCAGATCCTATAGAGATAATAGTGAAGTGCTACTGACTCCATTTTTATGATTCTCTCTCGTATGAATAAAGCAGAGAAATGAATTCTTCCCCTAACACAGCGAAAATCAAAAGATCAATGAAATAATGAACAACTTAAAATTTGCCTGTTGTAGATACTGAGGGTTATGGAATTCGTCTTCTATCATATTTACATTGTAGGTAGGGAATATATTTATTTGGAGAGCACATGTTGCAGTGGACCACCGGATATCAGGAAGAGCCACACAGATCCTAAGATCTGATCACCTTCCCAATTTATTCGCCAAAGAATCAGAGATGAATCTGATTGAAACAGCCACACTGAAGAATAGCTGCTGAAGCATCTTCTTCAGCAAAACACTTCTGGGCCCTAAAGTCCCTAAGGGGAAACGTGGCCCAGGCCATGCTGCCTTTACAGGGTGGGGCCTTTGTAGATCTGGATGTGCCACAGCCCTTTTATATTAGAAACAAAGAGTGTAAACCAAACCAAGCACTCCTGGTTTAAAACCTCCCTGTGCTTTCCCATCACCACTAAGAAAGAGTCAAAGTCTTGCCAACTTTCATCACTCCTCTCCCAGACCCCCCATCCCTGTGTCCTTTCTTATTCTACATCCGCTCTTCTCCACCAGGCTCACAGCATCCCAGCCACACTGCCGGGCCAGCCCATGGAAAATTGCACCCCTTCGCCACACACATATTCTTGGAGCCTCTTTCCCCTTACTTTCTACACAGCACCTTCTACCATCTAACATACTATCTACTGCTTTTGTTTTGGTTTGTATATTATCTCCTGTAACCAAAAAAATAAGTTGCAGTGGCAGTGCAGTCATTGTTAGAGCACTATCACCTAAAACGAGGCCTGGCAGCACCTGGACACTTGATAAACATTTATCAAAGAAATGAATGCATAGATCGTGGGGTATCTCATCAGCAACCTGAGAAAAGCTAAGCGGGTTGGGGGGTTGCTTGCCTTTAAATGAAATCTTTCACAAATCCTTCTACCTTGTATTTTCAAGGATATAGTTTGAAAACTGTATTAATTTAGGTCACTGGCTCTCCACTGGAGTGATTGTGCCCCCTCAGAATATTTGGTAATGTCCAAAGACGTCTCTGATTGTCACAACAGTGATAGGTGGATGGGTGCTACTGGCACCTACTGGGGAGAGCTCAGGGATGCTGCTAAACATCCTATAATGCACAAGTCAGGCCCCACAACAAAGCATGATCCATCCTAAAATGTCAACAGTGCTAAGGTTGAAAAACCATAAACCTGATTTAGCCGGAGATAATTTCTTAGATCTAACTCAACAGCACACAGAAAACAAAACACACATTAGGAGGAAGGGAGAGAGGGAAGAAAGTGGGTCAACTTGTTGGCATTACAGGAAGACCAAACCCAAAACTTTTACATGCAAAACAGAGAAACATTCAAAAAGACATGCAAGTGTTCACCCAACAAGGAAGAAAATATGCTGCTAAGGATTTATCTATAAAAACAAGAGAAGTGTCCAAAAAAAATGTGAGAGAAAAAGGGAACTGAATTGTAAAGAAGGATCTTTGTTTCTCATCCCTTTAGATCTTTCTAAAATTGTGTCCCATGTTCCTGTAACATGCATTCTTTCAGGAGTAACTGGCAAAGTTGTAATAAAAACAAGGAGGGAAATCCCAAATTACAATCTCCTTTCAGAGAGTTGGTGTGGCCTGCTGCTGGCAGCTCAGAGCATTTGGCAGGAGCTGGCTCTATGAGGGAGCAGCTGCTCCTCCACTCTCTTTGAGTAACATCAGGGATATGAGAACTTGGGGAGAAATTAACCCAACAATCAAAAACCGAAGAGATATTGAGAGGTGCAGTGTTTCTCCCTCTGTAAACATCATGTGAGCTCGTCTAATCTCATGTTTAAATTACAGACTGCTCCAACCATGGAAAGGCACTAATAGCTTTGGAAAAATAAGTCTTTGGAAAGAAATAAATAAAGCCTTATTGACTGATAAAGCCATAATGACTCTACAACAAATTATATTAATGGTTGGATAAAAACTGAAATTCACTCTTCTAGTACATTTGGTACAAGCATTAATGTCCAGTTATTAGGTGAATCCAGATCCCAGCTTCCCTCCTTTACCCATATAAAGACATCATTTGGTGCTTTCTCCCCTGAATTTTATAGGGTATCTTTTCATTCTGGTATGTTATCTTTTAGCTGGACTACCAGAAACAGCCTTCCTTTCCAAGAGATGCTCTCTGCTTTCTTCCACAAAGCAGTTTTTGAGACTGAAAGAAAATATGACTACAAAAAGACAAACAGATCTTTTTAAAAAATGGTCTTCAGTAGAACTGATACATGTATGTGTTTCAAATCAGTCACAGACATCTATTCCTTGAAACCAAAGAGAAATTCCCATCTTAAGACGGAAAGATTGAGACTCAATTTTGACTAGTCAAAATCTTTTGGTTGGTTTAATCAAGATTCAACTAACACATAGAGAAAATCATGTTACTTTTTATCTGAAACTACTAAAAATACTGGATAAGAAGAAGAATAAAATAATTGTTTCCTACTACAGCTGGGAGTATTTTTTCCCCCAGATTGACAAAGATAAAGCATCTCTAGACTAGAGAAACTTGTCAACTGTAAAATGGCTCTCAAATTGTGTATTAACACAGGTAACTTACAGACAGCAAGGGAATGGCAACTTTTCCAAGAAAATCAGGGGGTTTATCTCCATCTTCATCAAACACTGTCACTTCCAAAACATCATGGATATCTTTAATAGGACTGAAACAAGAAACACACCATGTATTATATACAAAAACACACAAGCGAAGTCTGCTCCACGAAGATCTGAAAACATGGTTTCGCTAATTAAGTCTGTATGTCCTTAGAGCATAAAACTACCATTTAATTAAATTCCAAAAATTAAATCAAACTGACTGTATTCCCAAACCTTCCATCACAGAAGATTCAGACATCCACATGAAAAAAAAGCCAACTTTTTTACTATGACACTTTCCATGTATATGTGCACTCAAGGGTAAGACTGTTCAAGTAACAGGATGAAGAGAAAGAATGGGAGACAGAATGAGGAGAGTAAGAAGACAGTGATTTCAAAGCAGCTTCTGAATAAGATGAGCAAAAACAAGATTTTCTTGACTTAAATTAATGAAGAATTCTCTTTAAAAAGTGGTCAAAATCACCATTTGCTGAGATCCATAGAAAATTTCCTATTGTTGAAACACAAAATAATAAAAATCCCATGCATATTGAGAAACATTTTTTATGTTGACCAGAATCCAGACATCAGCAACAACGGAAAACGGGGCCATGTCCATTGGCAGTCTGTTGGGCAAACAAGAGACTTGAGTACGGTGATCTGCAAACTTGCTGAGCAAATTTAGTCCACTTCTCATAGATCCTTGAGAACTTTCCACTATACCATCAACTCCATTCAAAAGAAACTTTATTCTTTCGGTTATAAGCACAGATAGAGCATTTCTTCAGCATCATGAGGGCAGTGTGCCACCATTTCAACCAATTTCAACAGGCATCTCCTCTTGATGGTCAGGTGCCTTGGAATCTAAAGCAAACTAGAAAATACATCCAGACTCCTAAATGCCAAAGTTAGAAAGAGGGGGCAGGGCATTGCCGTGGAGCAGGTCATTCAATAAGCTGAAATACAAAAACCCTTTGGAAGTTTTCGAGAAATCACAGATAATCTGTATTTTCCAAATGACTCTGGCAGAATACATATCTTCAGGCATTAAAATAATGTTGTAACATAGACGTTCCTTGAATTTAAGGCAGGTCTCCATTTGTAATTTTCGTTAACCCAGGAATGAATTACTCTGGATATATGGAAGCTTCCATCTACTCACAGATTAATTTAGTCACTAAAAGATTTACTCTACAAACGCCTCCTATAACCCTCCCTTCCAGTTCTGAATGCTCTCTTCTATTATTAACACCACACTCTATAAAATGAAAGGATAAAAGGTTTTCAGAAGGAAAAAACAATAAAATTCATTCTTTGCACATAAAAATGGACAGAAATTTCCACTCAAGAGCCCCGGCCTGCCCCAAACCTATCAGAAATAATTGGTCTCTAAGTTAGAGCCACTCCTTGGTATTCCAGAGGCTAAAGCACTTACAATGTAAAAACTTTGTTCCACTCAGGGTTGAGGTTTTTGTAAATGGTATGTGTCTGAAGTCGGTCATTGCCTAACTCCAACAAGCAAAAAGGATCACTCTTTCCTGGAAGAGAACACAGACATTGGTCAGAGACAAATGGCTCTCTAAAGTGACAGAGGCAAAGTAAACAAAAGCTACGCACTTTGATGACAATAAAATTGTGCTTGCTCAAAGAGCGAAGGTGAGCCTCTCTTTCCAGCAAGCCCTGTGGAAGCGCGATATAGGAATCTGGGAGATGGACAGAGCCTACAAGTCTTGAAATGTTAGCATACTTAACAGATTGGGACTGATACACAATCCACATGCAGTTTTGAGAGCCAATGGCCACATAGGTTTCATAGAAGCAGCTATCAATTTGGCACATGAGAGAGTCCACTTTTGTGTTTTGTTTTAAAACAGAAGCTCGTCTCTGTTTCCTTCCTAAATTCTCTTTGAGTCAATATAGATTATTACTCTTCTATAACTGGAAGCCTATGATAACTTATAGGCTTCACATAGCTGTGAACAAAGTGAGAAAAAGTTTAAACACGGCGATCTAGGCATTAAAACTCTGCTCTGGAGTGACTGGCCACAAACACATATAATCCTATATATTTAGTACTTTATGACAACATATATGTGACATTTTTGGTGCTCCTAAACATGCAGAAGTATAATTCTATAAAGTAAGTTCAAAGTTTTTATCTAACAAAGAAAATGAAGCTTAACTCTTATCTCACCTCATCTTTTTCCACCCTACCTCACATATCTTCCAAAAGAAAAAAGAAGAAAAAAATCAAAAATCTAAAGCTGGACCAGAAATTACCAGGTAAAAATGCTCTCCCCTATTGTTAGGTTTGGCAGAGGGATTTAGAATCGGAACTGCCAGCGAAAGAATGAATGGTTCTATAATGTCCATACGACATGAACACATTGCCCGCCTCTGCAGCACACGGCACTTTACAAAGCTGTAGCATACTAAATTAATTGGGGGCATAAGGACAGATGCTCCTCCAACAAATGGCCAAGGAATCCCAGGCCAGGGCCTAATGCAGAGAGTGCTCAGGCCTCTTGACCTACTGGCCTACCATTCAGGTCACTGAACTTACATCTAATTCACTTAATAACCAGGAGCTCTGAGGTGCTGCACTTCAATAGAGAACTGACATGTACAGGAGGCTGCATGAAGACTATATTTCAACAAAAGGAGAGAAGAAGAGCAGATGCGTGGGTAAGGGTCAGTATTAAACAGGAGATTCCATGCAACTGACTAGTGGCCTGGACAGTTGGATGCCTGACCAAAGCTTTTAAGTCAATGCCATTATCTCAGCGGCCTGGAGACAGTGATCAAGCCGTGGACATAAATGAATGAGCTGGGTTGTCAATTATAAATAGTGGAAATGGTCCCTGCCTAGATTTAGTAGAAAAGCAATTTAAATTTAAATCTGATATTAAAATAATATCAAACAGCTCTCAGAATCATTGCAAAGATTGGAACATCAGGCTTGAAAATCACTAAGAAACCAATGACAGTTAGGAAGACTTGGGCACAAAAATCACAGTGAGTATCTCACCCCAGGCAAAGTCTGGTGTGGACTCTGCTTTCCAGGAAAACTGGTCCCCCAGGCACTCTTGTCCCTGGACCCTGAGTGTGGCTGCCTCTACTGTGAATTCTCCACTCCTGCTTCTTTGTTTCATTTGAAGTTGATGTCAAGGCCTCAGAGGAAGAACCAGATTGCTCCTGCCTGGCCAAAAACCCGTGTCCTAACAGCCAGGGCTCAGAAAGAGGAAACAGATCTTCCTTGACTTACAATGGGTTACATCCCAAGAAACCAATCGTAAGTTTAAAATAGCTAAGTCGAAAGTGCATTTAATATACCTAACCTACTGAACCTTATGCCTTAGCCTCGCCTACTTTAAATGTGCTCAGAACATTTACATTAGCCTACAGTGGGGTAAAATCATTTAACACAAAGCCTGTTTTATAACTAGTGTTGAATAGCTCGTGTCATCTATTGAATACTGTACTGAAAGTGATAAACGGAATGGTTGTTTGAGTATAGAATGGCTGTAAGGGCAACGGTTGTTCACCTTTATGATCACAGGGCTGACTGGGAGCTGTGGCTCGCTGCTTCAGCCCAGTGTCACAAGAGATGTGTGTACCACACATCGCGCTAGTCTGGGAAAGGATCAAAATTCAAAATTCGAAGTACGGTGTCTAAGGAATGTGTATTGCTTTCACTCCGTTGTAAAGTCGAAAAGTCATAAGTCGAACCATTCTAAGTCAGGGACTGTCTGTACTGGCTTTTCAGCTTCTGTGAATGAAAGTGGGCTGTGACCCCTTCTCCAAAAAATACAAAGTGAAACGTCCCCACCGAGAAAGGGTTTCAGATGCTGGGCAGCCAAAATCAAATGAACGCAAAAATCCATGTGCATCTGCAAAAAGCCTTGCTTATTTAAAGACAGGTTTACTCTGGAAATGCATTTTGCAGCGATGGGGTAGGGATTGGCTGGGGAGGAACATAACGCCTCTTCAATAACTGTGACCAGGAAAGAGAACACGCGTTCCTGGCTTAATGGCTTAATGCTCAAGGAGACGAGGCTCGATTCCTCACCCTACGCTGAAACAGCTACTTAACCGTTTGTCAGACTGTTAGTAGGTGTCAGTGCTGCTCCGCCAGAGACAGCAACATGACATGCCATCAGCACTCACTCTGGGGAAGCCGTCTGACACTTTTAATGAAAGCCCTGGGGCTACTCCACAGCAGGGCAGACGCTGCCAGTCCTGCGCAGACACAGGTGAGCTGAGCTGCGGCCCCCTCTCTCTTGAGCCAGCACACTCTTAGCTGTCCCAGCTAATGAGGAACAGACTTCCTTCCAGAAACTGGGAACTTCAGTTATGTGTCTCCAAGGAACACACAGCACCAAGTCTCTGAAGATAATTCCGTCAAAGCTCATTAAAATGCTGCATTTATTAATATTACAGTATAAACAGGCAGAGAGGGGGAAGAAGAAACAAAAACATCAAAACATTTATAGAGTAATTCATGTACACTTCATGGATTGATTTCTTTCCCTTAAAAGGTTCTGGATATATGGGGACTTTCAATCAAATTTAAAAAGTGGATATTTTTATTGGGGATAAAAATTATCTCCCCTAATAAATGAAATGTCCAACTGTTCCCCAATGGTACCGAGCAAACAACACCAGGCCAACTGACACACATATGCTTGGGTCTGGACTTTTCCTCCTTGCTCTCCCCTCTTTTTACAGGTAAAACATCTACATGATCTCTTCTACATCCAGATGCCATGTCACCTTGACATGGTTACACCACCGGCGATTCAGTTTCACGGTGGTTTTACAGCACCTTACACTCGACAGTCTTTGTTACTTTTCAACACCACTTTAAAATTCATTTATATTCCTTGAATGGCAAGCAGAGGTTTCTCATTTAAAGAATTTTACCTCTATATCAGTTACAGAAGTTGAATGACAAGTAATAAATGTATTTTAGAAGTCATATCATTCATCTGACAAATATTTATTAAGCACCAACTCTGCTCTTGGCGCTGAACCAGATCCTGATGTACACAGACCACCAAGTCATTACCTTCAAGGAACTCTCATAATAATCTCTGCTTTTCAGCAAATGTCGCCTTTCCAAGGAAAACTTTTGCCACAATCCCGGCCAGCGGCTAAGTTGCTCCCATTTCCGGTCTTCAACTGTATATTTTCCTTACTTCGCTTATATTCCACATTTATACATTTCTGTGCCATAGTTAGCCCCGTATTTCATTTAATAACCAGCTCTGGCGGTCCAAGATTCGGTGCTCTCACTGCCGTGGCCCAGGTTCATTTCCCAGTCAGAGAACCACACCACCTGTCTGGCGGTTGTCATACTGTGGGGGCTGCATGTGGCTGTGATGCTGAAAGCTATGCCACTGATATTTCAAACCCCAGCAGGGTCACCCATGGCGGACAAGTTTCAACAGAGCTTCCAGACTAAGACAAACTAGGAAGAAAAACCTGGCCACTCACTTCCAAAAAATTGGCCATGAAAACCCTGTGAATAGCAGAGGAGCATTGTCTGATATAGCGCTAGAAGGTGAGAGGATGGCACAAAAAGACCAGGCAGGGTTCTGCCTTGCTGTCCACAGGGTTGCTAGGAGTTGGAATTGACTCAACGGCACTAACAAATTTCATTTAAGGGGCCCAAGGCAGGCATACAACGTATACACGCCCCCACCACCTCTTCTCTCTGTGAAGAGTGCCCTGGCCCAGTGAGACAGGGCAGCAGGGACATTCCTGGCTCCCAGAGATGGGTGCTGGCTAGAGGGAGCCATGCTCTTCTGACTCTGGGCAAGAAACCAAGCTTGATGCAGGTTCTCATTTAATCATCATATCAACTCTATGAGGTAAGGAATGCTTGTGCCATTTGGCAGATGAGGAAACTAAAGTTCAGAGAAATTTAATCTGGTGGGTTAAAGTTCAGAAAGATTTCATACTGGAGGTGAAACCTAAGCAAGGTTCAGGAGAGGGTCGATTTGGCTAGTAGAAATGGGTAGGTCCTTCTTGAGGAGATAGGAACAGATCAGAGCCTTAAATTTATTAACAAGATAGATAGATAGACAGAAAAACAGAGACACACAAAGAAATATATACAGCTAAATAGTGGCAATCAGGAAATATAAGATATGGGTGGATCAATGTAAAGACTGGCCTGAAGCCTTGAGGGTCATGACCAGTCCTTTTCCTCATTTTATTTCCTTTCTTTTTACTTATTCAGCAGCCAGGAGCCACTACAGACTGTAAACACAAGGGGCAGGATCCGAAGAAGGATTTCTAGAAGATAATTCCTGAAGGTAAGTGTAGAGCATGATAGCACAGACAAGTGGGGAAGGTGGGGGTAGCAATCGAGCCATGCCAGACTAGATTTCCAGAAACTCTCCCTTGATGCCTGGTTTCCAACCATTTGCTTGTTAACCTTACTATCATAAATTTGACCAAATTCTAGTGCTCATCCTGAAAATCTATGTTCTCTGACAACTTATTCCCCACAATCCATCCTGATCTATCCTCT